AGATTTCTCAGCTTTCTTTATTGCAGAGTTCCGCTGCTTTTGGGGATAGCGTGTTTATGGCTTTTGCGATCCATTACAGGTCTGAGGATCATGCAGCGGGCCTCCATCTGCCGTGGCCTACAGCCAGGGCCTATTTGGCTATTTGCTAGTTCGGCCTGTGAGACCAGGTCGTGGCCTGACCCCACAGGCCGTGTGTTGTTCCAGTCCTGCCCGGTACCACTGTCGGTGCCAGGCCAGTCTAGTCCAGTCAGTCAGTCCGCGGGTTGTCCGTTTTTTATCATTCTTCATTTTTGCACTGTTGGAGTACGTGCGGTGTTGAGTCTGCGTCGGAGCTGTGCTGTCCCTTCCAGCTCCATCTCCACTTCCTCCTTCCTCAACCCCTTCTTCTGCATCCTGTCGGACGACCGCCACCCCGGCGGGTCCGGCACAACCAACGACCTGTCCTCAAACCCGTGTATAAATGCCTTGTGTGTGAAGCCCGGGTCCTGTGGATTTGATCCGTAGGTCCTTTGCTTAGAAGTCTTAGGGCCGTCCGTAGGTGTCCCGAAAAGGCAAGTTTACAGTTGACCTTTCGAAAGGTCAACTGGCCATACGTCCTCTGAAACAGCAGGTCGTGGCTAGGTTAGGTCTCGAAGAGTCAACTTGACCTCTCGAAGGTGGTAGGGGCAGCCCGTCGAACCTCTGCGCTGTTGCTCGTCCTCGTCTGGCAGGGAAAGTCTTGTCTTCTGCCACTTGCATAGAATCTCTGCCTAAATCAAAGTCTTTGTTTCCGCCCACACATTTTCCCTTGAGTTTGACGCACCCTCAATGGTCCTGCCGCATCTTTCCTTCCAGATAGTCCATAATGTCACCTTCTTGATCATTTCGACCCAGATCTTGCCTGTCTTGTTCAGCTGGGAGGGATGGTAGTCCATAGGAGAAGTTGGAAGGGATGTTCAGGGAGGGAGACGCAAATAGAGAGTCCCAGAGGGACGATGCCCTGGCCTAGTACTCTGTTGCTTTTGTGCAGCGTATTAGACAGTGGAGCATGTCTTTTAGTTCATTATCCGCGCATACTATACATACTTCTGAGCTGTTGGGATCGTTCTTATGTCTTCGGATGTGGAGCCATTGATTAACCGGTAGGGCCACGTAGGCAATTAGCCATTGAAGGCTGCTAATTATAACTGGTCTGATTGATTTAATTTTTTTCCATGGGATTTGTGGGATCACGCCGGCGTCCTGACCCATTAGTTTGGACTATCTATTCTTGATTATGGGGTCCGGGTCCTTGGTTTTAAGGAATAGCCTATAGCCCAGTTTGACTGAGTAGTCCTGTATGTTGATATCTGTCTTGACAGTTTTATTCCTTCCTGGTGTCCAGGCCCATTTCGCCGGGTCAAATTCCAGGTCCTGGATTGTTGTGTCCATCCTGAAAATTGTTTTGGGCCGTGAACCGATGATTCTTACTTTCTTGAAGAGGAACAGATCGAGAACCACTCTTTCTACATCCTTGTTCAGAATAGACACGGAGTTGTGCTTGTCCAAGTGACTGGAAAGGCTGTGAAGACAGCCAAGGTTTGCGAGCCCTGTTGTTTGTGGGAGAATTGGTAGGCTGTCGATGGGGACGGTTCTTGTATCTGGACTCCCCGTTCCCCCGTTTTCCAAGTCAGTGCCTCTCTTAATATTCTTTTCCATCCCTCGGGGATGCATCTGATGATTGTTTGCAGGTTTTCGTCACGTCGATGACACCCCTTGAGACGGGTAGCGAGTTCCTGATCAGTGAGCCACCCATTCTTCTCTTCGTCCCGTATGTGAGAAACTTTCCAGATCCCGTGTTTTATCCATGATAGCCAACGTGTGCCATTGGGTTGAAACCACCAATACAAGGCCCCAGCCTTGCAGTCCAAACTTGTCGCCACAAGAAAACGAGGCCGAAACGTCAAACGCCGCACCCGCCGTTGATAAATTAAATCGGCGGTCGCGGTTTCGTTTCGCGCCTCTAGAATTTGAGGTGTCAGAACCGCGGCCCAGGTGCCCATGTACTGGTGCTTTAAGCAAAAGCAGGTGATCACTTTCGTCTCTCACCCACGGATTGCCGAATAGAGGTTGCCTCAGTACTCCTTCTCTGGTCTTTGGTTTCCCGACTTTCTTCGGCATGATTTTCCACCAAATCCTTAGAAGTGCAGTCCAGTAGGGTCTGGGGGGATTGGTTCAGGTGGGGGTGCCCCCTCTTTGTAGGTTTCTGCGGTCTGTTTTTGTGATCCATTCTTTGTTCATCACCCAAAATAGGCCAGACATGTTTGCTGGTGTCGTTACCGGAGCTAGCCCTCTTATACTGTCTAGCTCCAGATTGTTCCATGCTGTTCCCGGTTTAGTGAGGAGTTTGGCGATCCACTTTATTTGTAGAGCTTTTGTTTCTCGTTTGGGATCTATAATACTAAGACCGCCTTCAGCGGGTTTCCTTGTAATGTAGTGCCATGCTATTTTCGGTGTATAATTTTCTTTGTTGGGGTCTCCTGACCACAGGTAAGCTCTAGCTTTGCGGTTAAGGTCCTTTATTGAGTGATCAGGGATTGTCCATATAGATGTTAAATACCACATCATTGAAAAGATGGAAGTGTTGATGGCTAAAGCTCGCCCCAGCAGGGAAGTAAATGTATTGCCCCACCTGCCCATCTTGTTGATCTGTTTGGCGATCATGTTTTGGGCCATTTGAGGGGCCCAACCTTCTTTCGTCAAGAGGATGCCTAGGTACTGGGTAGGCGTCTCGGGTGTATCCCATGTCATGGCTGCCTCGGGGCCTTGGAGAAGAGGGGCCTCTTCTTCAGATAACCACCATCCAATCGTTTTCTTCCAGTCGATCTTCATTTCTGATGCTAGTCTGAATGCTTCCATAGCTCTTGCTAGAGCACTGAAGGATGATCCTGAGGCCCATATGAGGACAGTGAGATCGTCAGCAAACGTTGTGACTGTTAGGAAATGTATACGATGAGTTGAACCTGTGTTAATCTCCGGTAGTCTGTGTTTGGACGGATCTTTGCGCAGGAAGGACGCTATTGCTTCCATGACAAACAGGAAAATTGGAGGTGCTAGTGGATCCCCTTGGCGGACTGATCGTGAAATTGGGTAGCAATTTGAGAGCAGGCCTTTGACTTGCACACAGCCAATAGCGTCGTTGTACAGGATGCGTACCCATTGTCTGAAATTCGGCTCTACTCCCATCTTTTCCATACTTGCATTGGCAGCTCTTTCTAATAAACGAGAATGTAGATATGTGTGTGAATGCAGACATTCAGGGTAGATCCAAGTGTTGTGTGCGTACGTGCGTGTGAGTGTGTCTAATGGTGGATACAGTGTTCGGGTGGGAATTTCAGACTGGCAGTCAGACGCCACAGCCTCAAGATGTGACAAGTTGTCTTCAGCCGAGTTCCTGGCCGAAGGCCATATCCCTGAGTTTTCTGTGTGGGCGCACTGCGCAATCTCAAGCTTGTTGCTGATTCTGCTTTGAGGAAGTTGTTTTGCCATCGGCATCTGCACGTGTGCATGTTGGACGTGAAATCGAGACGAGTCTGAATGCAATGAGGAATACGGGGCCCTAATTTTTTTTTCTCTGCCCTTGAAATCTGTAGAAGGGAGGAGCACGTCTGGCTACCTCAGCCACCCCCAATACCCCTATACACCCCCTCAACACCTCCAAACCGCCCCCCAACACCCTCATTACCCCCCCAATACCCCTTATAACCCCCCTATACCCCCCCCAACCTCCCCGCATCCACTAAAGTTTCTCAGCAGATTTGGGCTGTACTCAGCAAGGGCAGTACATCCCCTAACTCAGATTTGGAAAAAGTCAGTGGATGACTGTTTTCTCACTGGTTGGCAGAACGCCGACCGGTGGGCCCTACTCGTCAGCTGCAAAACAGTCGGCGGTCGGGGTCGGCGGTCGGCAGGCATACAACCCTGAAAAAACAAAACAAAAAAACAGGTATTTCTTAGAAGCCGTTTTCCAGAGCTAAGTTGAATAGAACACACGCAAGTCTTTTCGGGTCAGTAGTGCAGTGTCAACAAGCCAGTAGTGACAGTTCAGTCTCATTTCATCTGGAGAAGATCATGAGGACCACAGAGGGTCGTCCTTCATTCTTTGGCGCTGAGCGCTAGAGGATGAATCGACCCGCATATCCAATTTGTCTGTGCGAGGTACGTGAAGGTAGCGTGGTGTAGCCATAAAAAAATGGAGCACTCTGGAGGGCAAACTTCAAGGCGAAGAGGACATCCAGTAGAAGTCCTTGAAGAGGAGGAAGACATGGGGAGATGATGTCACCGGGAGAAGGTTCTTTGTGTCAGTGATCCAGTGCTGCGGTCGTTGGATTGCAAAGGGATGTAAAGCGCGTCTTCAGGCCCCTTCTCCCAAGCTTGTCGAATTCTGTCTACAACATCACCTTTGCACCACAACTGAAATCCATCTGTCCAAGGGGCGCTGATTTCTATTCCAGGCTGGTTGTTGAGGCACCACAGTTATTGTTGGAAGATCAGTGGGTGATTATCTACAGCAGGCGCTTGACATGTAAGGTCCTGTGATCTTCACTTCCATCCATCCAACGGACAATTGCAAGTGCTGTTACTGGTCAACGATTGACAGTTGCCAGTGTGACAGGGGGGGGGGGGGAGAGAGAGAGAGAGAGAGAGAGGGAGAGAGAGAGAGAGAGAGCAAACATAATTTGTTGTTCATATTTTTTGGTTAGATGTGTGAATTTGTTGGACATCTTGAAACAACCAACAAGATTGCACTGTTTGTATTTCTGAGTTGCAAAGAAAATGAAAAAACGGAAAACAATCTAACAACAGGCAAAAAAAAAAAAAAAAAAAAAGCTTACAACAGGCACTGTACCGCACAGGGTGCAGCAGACACAGTTTGTTGCTCAGGAATTCGATCGGTTATCATGTAGGTTGGAGGTGGTTCTCTTTTCTAGACCACATCATAACTGTGTGCCCGATCTGTATGTATGTGCTGTTTTGAGCAGTGGTGAGAAGCCTTACAAGTGCACAACAGACGGGTGTGGCGCCAGGTTTCCAAGTAAACAGTTGCTCTGTCGTCATATGAAAAAGCACGAGCGTGCACACGTCTGCACGTTTGAGGGATGCGGCAAACGGTTTGCCTTCAAGGAGCGTCTGGTAAGTGTTGTTTGGGAGTAAAGTTACTAAGCAAACCCCCCTCCCCTGGTAATGAATGCTTTGCTACACTGTCGGTCCTTACCATCCAGATTCAACAGAGTTTTTTCCTTTTTCTCTAATACAATAAAGGAAGAAGCGGGTCTCGCGTGACGGGCCCAACAGAAACCGGGCGCCGCCACGCGGGACCGCTCCCAGGCACGGGAAGTAATCGTGGAGCATGGCGGGCCGCGCCGGGCCGAACGGGACAGGCAGCGGGCGAAAAGCGATGGCCAACGGTGTCAAACGTGCCGCTTGGACCCGCTTGGACCCCGCGGCGGACCGGGTGCATTCAGGCTGCGGTACCCATAGCACGCGGCCGCGGGAAAAAGCAGCGGGGTGCGCGTTCGCACAGGGGCGGGCACGCGTTGGCCATCGCGCGCAGCGGGGTGGAGCGCGATCGCGGTGCGGCGGGGCTGGGCGAAAAGTGATGGGCCACGGTGGCAACCGTGCCGCTTGGACCCGCTTGGACCCGCTTGGACGCCGCGGCGGACCTGGTGCATTCAGCCTGTGGATGGAGCGCGCGGCGGCGAGGCGGGGCTTTGCAGATGGTCGTGTGTGTGTGTGTGAGAGAGAGAGAGAGAGAGAGAGAGAGAGAGAGAGAGAGAGAGCTGGATGAAATACGCATCGCCGAGAAAGAGAAAGTGAAAGAGAA